CTCCAAAAGAATTTATTGATGAATTTTTCAAGTCTAGAACAAAATTCTAAAGTAGGATTCATAGTTTCCAACAAGTAAATAAACATATAACACAAAACACTTTAATCAGGACCAACCTAGCTCCCATAGATAAGAATTTAAATTCCCAAGCATATATATATTTTTGAATACTTGCAAATATTTTTATAAAAAAATGAAAGTCCTTTTATGGCCTTTATGAGGATCGTGAGATAATAAAGAGGAAGTAATTGATTTTTGAAACCAGTTATGGATTAGATATTATTCATTTTCTCCATTGACATACTCTTCCCTACAATGAAGGTGCTCTTACAATTGTTAAAATTAAGACCAGTTTCATTTTCCAAAAATATTAAGAAGTTTTTTAATTCTCTTGATATCATTAATAGAACAATGACAAAATAAAATGATATCATAAGCCAAATAAAGATGAGAAATATTTAATCCACTAAAATTATTGAAGGCCAAGCTTTTAAAGTAGAAAAATAATGCTCTAAATCTCTAGAAAAATATTCAGCATTAATACTATAGAGAACAACAGATAAAGGGTTCCCTTGTTTGACACCATAGTTAGATTTGAAAAAATCTTGAGATTTGACATTAATAAGAATAGAGAATTAAACATTTTTAATAATCCTTTTGATCAAAGTTGTACTATTATCATCAAAGCCAAAGAGTTATATTAAGTTAAAAATGAACGACCAATTAATATTATCTTAAACTTTAGTAATTGTTGACCTTATTCTTGCATGAGATTAATCAATCCAAACCAAACCCAACATTGAGATCAAATCCAAAATCTCAAACCAAAAATCAAGGATAAAAGCTTATGTCCCATATCCCTTTTTGAGTGATTTTTCAATCACCTCAAAACCAAACTAGCTAACCACCGATTAATGACCAGTCAGTTGCATATTGATTAGGCTTATCTTTATGGTAAACCCTCCAAATTTGGGGCCAATTTGAGCCCTCTAATCCCTAAAATTGAATTGGTTTTCAAAGGCTACAAAATTTTTAAATATTTATAACTCATACCACTGAACTTTGCACCATGTGAAATTTAACTTTGGGACCTTTCCCAAAACCTTTAAACATGTTCATAATAACCTTATAATATGTTTAACACAAAACTAAATCTTTGGTGGACCCTAATTGACCATGGGCCGACCAAATCCTGAAACCATTAAGTTGAAAAATCAAAGTTTCCCTTAAAGTTTAACATGGCTCATGCATACCAATCATTGAAATCCCTTCCAATGCATCCCAAATTATTATTTAGGATGTGTTGAACTTAAACACATTAGGAAATTCATGCATTACCGGCGGTTGTTTCTGGCGGTTAATGATGGATTTCCGGCAATTTTTCAAAACACAGACGGCTTTCCTGTGGTACAAAAATTGTTGATAAAAATGGCTTAGGAAATGGTTTCCGGCGGTCATTTTCCGGAGGCTTTAATAACCAATGGATTTCCGATGGCCTGGGGACCAATGTTTTTCGGCAACGGTAATGTTGGTGATCAACGGTTAGTTACCGATGGCGTACCGGTTGTCAAAACCATCGATAAAACTAGCAGCTAAATGGCCGGAACATCATCAGATGATCGTCGATTAATCAGTGGCAGCTTACCGACTAGAAAAACCGTCAGAAATACCAGCAGCTAAACCGCTAGCTTATCACCGGATAACCGCAGGCAAGCATCGGTAAATCGCCGGTAATTACTGACAGCGTTATTGAAATTCCGGCGGCTTCTAAAATCCATTATATATCGAGGTTTCTAGTGGCCAAATTGAGACTAAGGTAGAGGAGGTGGACGGGTCTGACGACTGGAGAAGAAGTTCGGGGCATGCGACTCAAGGAGACCAGAGAGGAGAAGGGTTCGGCTTAGGGTTGAGATCTTCGATCGGAGGAAGGTTGTCGGCACCGGATTCTTGCGTAGGAGGCGCTATCGCGAGAAGGGGTGAGTGTCTGCAGCAGCGAGAGAAAATGCGAAGAAATGAGGAGGAAGGCTCAGGATGGATAATGTTAGGTCTTTTTCCAGCAGTGTTTTGGTGGTTTAGACTACCGAAAACTAAATACTTAATACTGGTGCTCTTAGTCGATGCTTAAGGCACCGGTATTAAGTTAAACCGGTGCCACAACCCGTGGTTATTAAACAACAGCTAATTCCGGCAGCGGTTTATTAAAAACTGCTGGTTAAACCGCTGATTTATATCGGTGGTCAAACCGCCGGTAATAGCCACCAGTCATAGCTGAATTTTCTATAGTGAAACCCAAGTCTTGTTCATACTTAGTTGACGAAGTCAACCTAAGTTGATCAAGTAACCTCTTTAAAGTTCAAATGTCTATTTCAAACCAAATGATATAACCATGACATGAGACCATCTTTATTAGTCTCAAAATATAAATCCAAATATTTTTGACCTAACTCCAACTAATGGTCAAGCTTGGTTAAGCAAATCAACAATATACTAACACTTAATTCAAACACATTGACTAAGACCTTGCGAAGCCAATTTTGACCTTTAGGATGACCCACTAGGTCCCTAAGAACCACTTATAGGAAATCCAACCCTTGGGTACACTTGGGTTAGCCATATGGCTTCACTCAAGTGCCTAAAGAGGGCTCTCCTTGAGTCCAAACCCAACATAATCCAAATCAGATCAACCAATGCTTGCAATGGTTCCCCTATGACCCATTATGCCTACCCTAGGTGGCCTAATGTTAAGTGTAAATAATGTTATATTTTATGTGTTAATTTTTCATTAAAATATGTTATTTTAGTAGGATTTATTGTAGGAAAATACAAGAAAGGGGCAAAATTTTCAAGTATGGTACAGGGTTGCGGTGTTAGACACAATACCATCACTCTGTCATCATTGACACTATTAGGGCATCAAAATATGGATATGGAGACACCCAGTATCTATTTAATAGCACCATAGTGTTAGATAAGTCAGCACTATAAAGCCTAGTATATGATTGTATAGTGATGCGATAACAAATTCCAGCGCAATTAAGTCAAGGGAGTTCTACGTGGATGTCATAGGGCTCAACCATTAATAGCGCCACAACACTACAATTGTAACTATTTTTAGGCCACAATCTTCCACTGAAGTGATGCATTTATTCATTAAATAATGGTTCATGTCAGCAAGCGTAGTAGTTAAGGAAACCCTTTAGCATTATGGCGTTAATTTATTTATGAGCATCACAGTGCAAGTGTCTTGAGTACCGCAATGACATAATTTGTTTTATGTATTTTTCTATAAATAGTCTATTTGTAATGTTAGTAGATGAGTTCATTCACTTGTTTAATTTTAACCTTTATAGTGTTTCTTTGATTTTTTCTTAAGAGTAAAAATTAAGAGAATTCAAAGAAGTACTAGATATATTCTATTAGAGTGTTTGGCTTGTGGTTGTGAAAGTAATTATGTAAGTTCAAGAAGTGTGGAGGATATCATTGAACCATCAGGTGATATCTTTTCTTATGTACTTTTTTCTTTTGTGTAATTAATGAAAATGAATATACTTCACTTGTTCTTCATATTTAGCAAAATTCTCTAGTTTTGGATTGATTGAGTAAATGAAATATAGAGTACTAATAAATTTGCTTCATTAATAATTTCATAATATTTTTAATATACCAAGTCTTCATTTAATGCACATAATGGCTATATGTGTAGTTAATATTATGTGTAATATGAAGCCTAGGGATAGGAAAGAAGACACAACTAGGTATATTGGATTGATATGATGAAAATATAGACATAGTATTTTCCATGTATCAAATTTATATAGATGAATTATCATGAGAGGATTTTAACAGTACACGCTTTACTTAATCTTCTGAGATTTTTATAGGGTGACAAACTATGGAAGTTTAGAGTGTCATTAATGTTGAAAGAGTTTAATCTATCCTTTATCTCTTCACGCTTGACTGAGTGATGTGTGATGCATATGCTTTGAATAGCATTAATATGAAAGATACTCATTAGGAAACATATTATATTTACATTCTATTAATCCAAAATAATTTATCCAAATAATATTTCATTTAATTATTTTTAATTTTAAATTAAGTGATTGAATCTCCATCAAAATTTCTTTTAATTTAGTAGAATAATTGTTATAATTGAAGTAGATAATATAATTATTTGAAAGTAAACATTCTTTCTTGTTAAATTGATACTCTAATTTATCACTATATAACTTAATTTAGCACATATACTTGCATATATTAAGTGGGGTTTTTATAATTTTTATATAAAAAATTGAAGTATTATTTAGGGATTGATAGAGCCCTAAATTTCATAATTCTTTAGGTTACTACACATCCCCCATCAAATTTTTGGAGTCATTGCTAGGAAAGAATTAATTTTATTTAAAAATTTATTATATTATTAAATTAATTACATAATTAATCATAATATATTATTTTTTTAATTTTACTTTATTGATTGCATATATGTGATTGCATGCTTACAAGACATAGAGGGGAGGCACGTTTAAGCTTTGATTATAAAATTGAGAGAACTCTTTCAAAAATTCAAAAAGATTTTTAAAATGGTCGACCCTGTTCAAATCTTATATCATTCTAAACTTCTTAAGGATTTTGCAAACACTTTACTAGATATAATTTTCTGAAGCAAAAATAAACCCACCATCCAAGAAAATAATTTTTAATTAAAACATGTAATCATTTATATGATACAATAATCTAAATTTGGGGGAGCTCTCATTGAAGATCCTAACCTACATTTAGCAAGTTTCTTAAAAAATTGTGCAACATTTAAGTACAATGGTGTTAGTGATAATGTCATTAAACTGAGATTGTTTCTACTTTCTCTAAGAGGCAGGGCAAAAATATGGATTAATTCCTTACCCCAAGACTCTATTATCACATGGAATGAATTGACCCACAAATTTCTAGGAAAGTATTTTCCACCTTCTAAGACTACCAAGCTTAGAATTGATATTACCAAGCTTAGAATTGATATTACTTATTTTACTCACTTAGAAGGAGAATATATTTATTAGAGTTAAGAGAGATTCAAGGAGATGCTTAGAAAGTGCCATCACCATGCCTTACATGAACGGTTGATAATTTAAACTTTTTATAATGGATTGGCATGATCCCTTAGAGCCATAATTGATGCTATAGCTGGAGGTTCTTTAATATCAAAGCTTTTTGAAGATGCTCATGAATTAATTGAAGAAATGACAACAAATAATTTTCAGTGGCCTGTTGATAGGATAAATCTTAAGAGAGTGGTTGGAGTTTATGAAACTAATTTTTATCTATTTTGATTGCACAAGTTGCAGCAATATCAAAGAAATTGAGCACTTTAGGCTTAACTTTTGATTCATCTTTACATTTGAAAGATAAAAACTCAATGGAAGAAAAAGACAACCAAGAGATTGAAAATATAAATTTTATTAGAAAATAAAATAATCCCTATTAAAATACATATAATCCATATTGGAGGAATCACCCAAAGTTTAGCTGGTCAAATAATAATGGTGAAAATCAATGGAATTCTAGTCAAAATAACAAATGAACAAATTGGAATAATCAAAATCAAGCTAATAATAATTCAAGACCAGTATATCCTCCTGGATTTAATCAAATCAATCAGTATGAAACTAGAAAGTTACCACTGGAAGAAGTGGTTATGCAATTAAGAGCTCAATTATAAAACTAAATTCCTTTAATTAAAAATTAAAAAAACTCAACTAAGTTAGCTTGCAATTTCTATTCGTAGTAGAACCATTGGATCTTTTCCTAGTAATACTAAAGTTAATTCTAAATAGAAGGAAAGAGATACCAATGGGATCCAATTGAAGAATAATAATCACCCACCTTAGCCAAATAGAAAATTTGGGAAAAGTCTTGCTGAAGACTATAAACTTAGTGCTGCCTAGGAGGCAACTCATGTATGTGTGATGTTAGTATGAATTATGTTAATGTGATGATATATCATGTTTTATTTTCAACCTACATTTTATGTGCTCTTTATAACTCATATAAAAGCATGTGTTTGTAGTATTTATTTATGTGTTTATTTACATATTATCTAATTTCCTTCATGCTTAAATTATTATTATCCTCCAATTACTGTTATATTTTTATTATTTAATTAACCTTTATAAAAATTGAAAGTTCAAATAGGTTGTTAGACCTAA